CGAATATTGAGTCGTCCAGAAGAACTAACCTTCGTCGATGATAAGAGTTGGTGTCAGAGGTTTTCCAGAGCAGTACACGGCGTCGGAGGAGCAGGGGCGGACTCAAACACGAGTTTCCTGAGCGAGCTTCGAAGTTGAGAATGAGACGACGGGCTTCTCTAACTCGAGAACGCGATGACGAAGTTCGAAGTTGAGCAGGGTCGTACCGGAGCAAAAGACGACAACGTGATCGGAAGAATAGGATGTCGGCGGTTCAGTTTCTCAGTCTGTTCAAGGTTGAGACGAGAGAGAATACGTTTTCCTAATACTTCGAATGAGTAAATTTGGAACCAACCCTAGAAAAGTTTTCAAATTGACATTTTTGCCCCTAATTTTTTTGAATTTTCGTTGACCGATTTTGACCGTTTAAAGCGCCTAGCTCCGATTAGTTCCGAATTTGACCGGCGTTGACCAAACCGATTACAATGACCGATTAGCCATAAACCTCATCGGTGGAGCTCCGCCTAGGCGGCCGCCTAGACCGATTTCTGCAACACTGATACAATGCCTACAAGTAGCGGTGCGTTCACATTTCACAACACTTTGTATTAAATAGCATAACTGTTTTTAACATATATATATAGTACATAAATTATTATAATATGTGGTTGGCTAAAAGATGTCCCATTATAACCTATAAAATTGTAATTATAAGGAGGAAGAGCATAACCGAAAAGACCCTTCAATTATCCTCCTGATCGTTCATATATTGTATCATTTGCATCTTATGGAAAAGATATTGAAACCACATAATTATAGTCCCTTAATTTATGGAAAATTATCATATCCATCATACTATAAATATTTAATTCCAAAGACCTGATACGTCATTATGGCAAACATTATGGTACACAATATAAATGTACATAACATGTACTAAGTATTACAAAATAGTCCTAAGGCTACAATATTGTGCTATTTTCCAACAAAAAACTCTTCAATGGGACTACCATTAACAAACACCGACAATCTAGAAGACTTCAACACGCCATAATCCACCTTTTTCATATATAACCAAAACCAAAGGAGGACATAACTTCAAATAAAAAATCACATGAAATGGAGTCAAGCATTCTCAAAATCAATCTTGAAGATCATAAACTTTTTCTTGTACTTTCTGAAGCAGTCTGAAACCTCATTCACCTTAATTCATCATAAGAGGTCCATCTAAAATATGTCTTCCTTTAATAAAGGTTGACTGATCAATCCCCACCACCAAGTCAACCACATTTGCCAATCTATTAACAAGAATCTTAACAATGATTTTGTATTGATTACCAATCAAGCTAATCAGTTGGAAATCCTTAGGAAATCTAGGATCAACTACCTTTGGAATAAGATGTAACGCCCGTAGATCCGGGCTAGTCAATTTAGAGATAATAGGGGTCGAAAACGACTTTTCTACAAAAGATAATTTAGAATAAATAATCTTAACCAAGTTGTAGAATATGTCGCAAGGGTTCCGTACATATAAAGAACACCGAAATCCGAGTTATAACGAAGAAGTTATGGCCCGTCGAAGTTTTTCGGCAAAACCGGCACGACACGGGAGACGTAAATAGTGAATTTACAATAGAGGACTTTTTAGCCTTAATGATCTAAACAAAAGTTGTAGTATATGTTAAACCGAGAACATCCATAAAAAGA